ACTGCCTGCAAGTGTTCTGGCTGCATGTTAAAGTATTTTTCTCTGCTTCCAGCATGGAGATTAAACAATTTCTCTTCACAATAATCACATCTGCATTCAGTCAGCTTTGTGCTAGAGTCAGGGCTTGACCCCAAGTTTCTGTCTGTACAGCCAAATCGTCTCTAATCTGGACTTGATGCTACACAAAGAAATGAGAGCAAAATGCACTAAGGGAGGAGTGATGTCCTGACGAAAGGATGCACATTCTCTAGCATGTCCCTCGCTCCTGACTCTGCATGCTCTCCAAACAGCCCAGAAATGAGCTCTGACACTGCATCACCCACTCTGTACAACAAATAGAGCCATCTTGCAAGAGGCACTGTCTGCTGGATTTGGGCTTATGCCTGTGTGCGACAGACAGCTGTTAAGCAGACCCCAGGGAGCTCAGGAAGGGAGCCCAAAACACAGCTAATTTTAGCACCTCCTGTTACAAGGTGAAGCTCCTGCAGTTCCTAGGCAGCTGGCTGGGTCCCATCCTCCCCTCTTCTGCAGCTGCAGGTCTCTTCCTTTGGTGCTAGACTGCTCAACTCCAGCATTTTGGAGTGATCTTCACTGAGGTACCCATGCGGGGGCTGACCTCAGGTCCCAGCACAGAGCAGCCTGCTAGCTCATAGCCCACAGGTTCTTCGTGACGTGACAGGATGGCAGTGGAGCTGCAACAGGGTTTGCAGCTCTGGCCCCATCCTGCAGTCATGCTTGTGAAAAGCTGGCAGCAGCTCCAGTCCTGGTGTCCCACAGCACAGCTGGGCCCAGTGCACTGCCACCAGTCCTGAGGCAGGACCGGGACCTGTTCCCTCTCAGGGTTGAGGAAGGGAATCCTCCCTGCCCCGCTGTCACTCCAGCTGCCTTCAAACCTGCTCCTCTGCACCACGACAGTGGCTCTCGATGGCTCTGTGCCCTGCTGCCTGCAAAACAGTCCTCAGCAGTTGCACTATTTATCCCGATGCCCCAACAGTCCCAGACCAGGTTTCTGCAGACTAGGCATCTGAAGCCAGCTCTTGCAGCTGGTCCTGCCATGCCAAAGTTGCCCAGGTAAAACTGTTGGGTCAGCTTCCATTTCCGATGTGCTTCCCCCAAGTGCAGGAGCTCAGCACAAGCCTGAGGTCTGTGCTCTTTGCGTAGAAAACACTGACTTCTCCTGGGGCACAGCACAGGCCTAGCCTGGCTTTATGGGCTGGGGTTAGCTCCAAGCATCACCTCTGCCCCTTACAAACACTCGACTTCAGCCTTACCTTTCTGACCATGTTGCACCTACCATTTTTGATCCATCAGCTGCCAACAGAAACCCCTTTTCCTTTCCCTTTGCAGGAGTTTATAGTGAGTCTGTATAAGTTCAAGGAAGACAGACACTGAAGTTGCCTAAACACACAGAAACCACCCACGGCTGAAGACACCCACCAGCAGAAGCTGCTGCTGTCTGGGAGAGTATTAAAAAGACCATCACACATGCTGTGTGTGCCGTTTCTCCACAAGCATCTGCTTTGGCCACTGTCAAGATCCTGGAACAAAGAGGCCTTTAGTCCACTCTGACTTAGACTAATAGCTTCAAGTGCATATGGTGTCACTACCAAAATGTGCTGCCCTGGTCCCATACAGAGCAAGGGACAGGCCTGTTGCAAAGAACTCCCAGCTACTCTGTGAGAGTTTGTACAGTTCTCTCATTTGTTATTCCCTCTTAGACACTAGGAAATCAAATTACTTTCCCTCCCAATTAGTACTCCTTCATTATGCAAATAATGTCCTTTGATCTGCTCCTGCTGTCACAGAGCGGATCTGACCGTATTTGTTTTATCCTCTTTATGCCCCAGGAAGGTACCCACCTCTGGGAGCTGGGACTATGCTTTTGGCAGGGAACGGAAAGCTGCAGCTGATAGCTGCTGTGAGTAAGAAGAAAAACCACCCACTTGGGCAGCCCCAAGCATAAACCCCACAGTGAGGTCTGGGAATGCAGGAGCTTTAGCGGTGGAAGAAGGGAGTCACCCTTCATCTGTCAAGCTGGGACAGAGCAGCGGAGACAGAGAGTGAACAGCTCCCTGCAAGCAAGCTCCAAGCTCGAGTAGCCCTGTGCCCTGGGGTGCGCCATCCCAGCCCCTTGCCCAGCACAGAGCACAGCTGAACCACAAACACCAGTGATCTGGGAAAATATCTGCACCCAAATGGAGCCAAGACCAGGCATGCTTTCCAGTAGGACCCCAGGCTTTGACCTGGATATATTAATAAGCAACCCAAGCTCTCCCCAAGCTGGCCAGCCTCCCCTACCCCTGTTTGGCCAGTTCAGAGGATCACCCTCACCCACATTCAGGAAGGCAGCAAGGCATGCTCCCCATCCACTCTTACAAAAATATCCCTCAGGCCCAGGGGAGATTATTTGTCCAGCTCAGAGACAAACATCACTACCAACATCAACCACAAAAAAAGCCATGATCACAGCTGCACCTGGCCTTGATGCCACAGAGGGAGCAGTCCCATACAAATGGAGCCTGTCAGTGCATCCCCATAGGGAAATCCTGAACTTTACCTGCCTAGCCCAGGCAGCATCCCATGTCCTGCATCCTCAGCCGCTCCTACGGCAGCTGGAACTGGACTTCACACAGCAGGTCCATGGTGAGCCCCACTGTCCTCTGTGTTCACACCAGGGTCACAGTGGAGGAGCAGGGCAGCTGCTGAGGCCCAGAGGGTTGATGAGAAAGCTACTTCTTGGCGCTCCTTCCCTATGTTTTCTCAGGATGTGTCTACCCTGTCCTTTGCACTACCTGCTCTTGGGCAAAGCACTGGTAAGTCAAGGGAGAACCAGGAAGGAGCTGGGGACTTGCAGCAGCAGCATGCGGGTATCCTCCAGCTCTGCATTCATACTGCAGGAAACCATGTGCCAGCACCACTCAAGATACTGTCTGGAGCTCTCCCTGCACTGTCAGCTGCGCGTCTCCAGGGCTGGGCTGCTACAGAGGAGCCCTTACGCTCCCTGCGATGGCCAAGCTGCAGACAGCTCCAAGGTTGTCGCAGGCAGGCAGACATCAGCCTGGTAAGCAGAAAAGGCTCTTGGCTCCAGCTTCCCTCTCTGAGCATGCAGCTTGGAAACAACATAGCCCATGCCGTTCACAGCACTTCTCTTTACTTTTAAGTCCCAAGTATTTTAATTTGCAGGAATCGCCTCCTTTCATGTTGTGAAACCATGTTTCTCTCTCTCTCTGATCTCCAATTTTGCATAGTAACTGTCTCCTTTGATATGTCTTGTTCACATCAGTCTGATCAGGCAGCTCTGTAATTGTTAGCGATTTTCAAAGAACTGGGATCCTCATCTAATACTCAGAGTCAAGAATTCCTTCCTTTTTAAATATTGTTCAAGCAAAATAGATTAATTTAATTTTTTTTTTCCCTTTGGGAACAGGATGCCTCCTGCCTTGCTGCCCACATGCTGTCTTTCATTTCTCCAGAAGCACATGGCAGTAGTTCAAAGGGTCACTCTGACTTGGGAAAAACAATTGTAAAGGTAAAAGGAAGAGGAAGGAGAGCTTGGGATGCCTCAGGAGAGCTTATTCACCATCCGTCAACAGAAATCCAGGCAGGAGACAGTCCTCTGGTGTGGGCAATTCCTGCACATCCGTACCTGCTGGAGGCCATGCACCAGTATCACAATATGCTGCACATTAACTGTGGAGAGCCGGAGCTCTGTCCTGAGTCAGCACAGACCTGAGCGCATCCCTTGCACACCCAGAACGCCTCTTCAGCCAGACTATCCTGCAGAAGCACAGCGTGACCCAGAGGTTTGCCTGCCCTGCCGAGCCCCTCGTGCAGCACAGCCCTGTTCCCCCAGAACTCGCTCCCCTCCTGGCACTGTCAGTCCCTCCATGCCAACTCATCACTTGCTGACTGTGCTGGGAACCTGCCTTATCTTTCATGTCAGTCACCCTTTGCAGGCTGTCTTTTGCCTTGGCGTAGCCTTTTGGAGAAAAGTGATTTATAGATCCCTGCCTGAAGCGCACGCCGACACAGGCAGCCTACTACGCGCTCTGGCTAACCAACAGGGGTAACAGATAGCCCGATAGCACAGGGAATGGTGCGGCCCTCTGGGCAGTGCAAGCCAGTCACTCTCCCTGGGCTGCTCAGCAGCACAAGAATCCACCATTGGGCCAGCACAGGGAGTAAGGGCAGCAGCACCACAGTCCTTACAACACCTCCCTGCACCCTTCCTGACACTCAGGCAAGCACAAAGCTCGCTGCCCCGCTCTGCAGCGCAGGGGGATGCACTGGCACAGCCTCGTGGCACACACCCCAGCCTGGCCCCCAGCACTTCAGTGAGGCCAGTCACCAACGGACTTCAAGGATGCCTGGTGGCAAGGCGACGGGCAGACAAACAGTAACATGGGGAAGCCATGCTTCTGTCAGAGGGGACATGAATTCCCTGATCTCAGCCACCGCCTGGCCCCTGGGGGGAAGGCCAGAGGCCGGGTGACAGGGGCTCAGCAGGGCTGCGGGGACACACGCAGGCGGGTGGCCAGGCAGCCAAGGGGCTCTGGAGAGCAGCCAAGCAGCACCGAGAGGATGACCCGAGGAAGGGTGAGGACACGGGCAGCCAGAGCGGGAGAGACACCCTCAGGTGAGCCCCTCGGTAAGGGAGGGCTCAGCCCGTCCCCCTGCCCTGAAACGCTTGGGAGCAAGGGGGCTGTGCAAAGGCAAGGTAAATGCACAGCGGGCAGCTGGCACCGCCACGACCTGTCTCCAGGGCGCAGCTTAGGGCTGAGACTGAGCGCTCAGCCAGAGGCTGGCAATCAGCTCAGAGGATTTATTCACTTGTTTTCCTTAAGCTACCTTATTTATTTTTCCCTTTTGGCTCAGTAGCCCTGGTCTCTGCAGGAAACCCTGGGATTTGTGGCTGGTTTTGCGGGGTGCAGCAGGCTCTAGGTTAGCCAGGAGAGAGGCACAGGTTTCCCAACCCACCTCCTCCCACCCAGGAGACCTACCGATGGGGGACAGCTCAGCCCCGCTGCCGATGTAGGGCCCCTCCCGGCAGCGTGGCTCGCCG